TAAAAGAGAGTACAAAGACAAGTATGCCCTAAGTAAGTCGGCTACTTGTGAGAACTTAAAAACACTCTTAACTTATGGAATGGAATAGGGAACACTTTGGAATATTAGAAGAGAGTAAACTAAATTTAATGAATAGAGTTGAGGAATTAGATGAGGAGACTCAGATGAATTTGAATGATGAGGAGAGAGGCCTATGTTGGAAGTTGAAGGAGTTGGAAGAAGTGGATAAGAAATCAATTGCAGGCAGAAATCAAGACAAAAATGGATCGAGGAAGGGGATGGCAATATAAAATTTTTCCACTATTTGGCCAATGAAAGAGAAGGTGCAAAAATTATGTTGACAAACCAAAGGCTAATGGGGGAGGCATTTTCTGACCAAGGGGATATAGCTAGAATCTTCGTGGAACATTTGAACTTTTGAAGGCCATTTTTAGAAGACACTTAAATGATAGGGAAAGTGTGGTCGGACTGGATTGGGTGGCCATTTTTAGAAGGCCCATATTGGATGCTGAAGCAGCTAGTTGTTTAGAAAGAAATTTTAAGAGGAAATAAAGAGAGTCATCTTCTCAATGGTAGAAACAAGGCTCCTAGACCAGATGGTTCTACCATGGCTTTCTATTAGGATTGTTGGGAAGTTGTAAAGGGTTTTGGAGAGAGTTGGTAAATGGGGTGCTTAAAGATTTTTCTCCCAGCTTCAAGAGGTCTAAGACAAGGTGACCCCCTATCCCCTTTTTACGCTTGTAGCAAATGTGCTTAGCAGATTAATTCTCAAAGCTAATTGGGATGAGGATTTTAGGTTTGGAGAGTAGGGAGGGAGAGTGTCACAGTGACCCACCTGCAATTTGCAGATGACATAATTTTCTTCTGTGAAGGAAATGACTTAAGAAAGGTAACTAATCTGAAAGGTTTGACCAAGATGTTTGCACGGTTTTCAAATTTAAAAATCAATTTGAAGAAGTGTTGTAGGAATTAGATTGGAGGAAGTATACTTTTTTATTGATAGCAGCCTGTTTGGAGTGCTCTACCACTAATTTCCCTATGACTTAGGCTTTTGGTGCCCAATTTTAGAGAAGTGTGCAAGAAGACTAGTGGGCTGGAAGAGAAACTGCATTTGGTTGGTAATAGAAGGGGATTCTAAGGTGGTAAGGGTGGTTAAAGGAACCAGAAGCTGTAATTTGGGGTTACAAGAACGAGATGAAGAAATTTAAATGGCTGACAAGGAACAAGACCTTGAGAATCTAGTGGGTGAGGACAGTCGATGCTTTTGCTGAGGGGTTTCTAGGGCACAACTGTATTGGGTGTGGTTGTAATTGTTTTCTTTTTTTTTTTTTTTTTTTTTTTTGAATTGTATGTTGGCTGCAGATTGACCTAAATTGGTCAATTTTGGCTGTTTAAAGTGTAATTAGACTCATTCTGGTGATATACATTCTGTCCATACATTTAACTTTTTTCTTTTTTTTTTTTTTTTTTTTGCTGTTTAAGAGAGGACGCACCTCACATCTCTCTTTGGGAAGCATGTATTGACTATATCTATATTGTTATCATTGTATCTATTCTCATTAATAAAATACTAGTCATTTATCAACAAAATTATAACATGGAATAATGTTACATGACCCATTTATAAATTATAAGGGATCTGGATTATTCAGTCAATGAGGTCCTTGTTGGACAATCCTATGCAATCAAACAAATGCATTACATGGGATGCAATGATAAATGATTCTCAAAGTTAAATAGTTTATAGAATGGGAAAATCATCTGACCTGCAAAAGTTTAGGTTGAGAAACTACACATGTACCTGAGATCTATAAATCAAATGGCCTCAACATATTGATGTGCTCCCAACAGTGTTGCATGGAGACCACATATTTGGTATGATTTGCGAGTAAACACATGTCCACAAGTCAACTCATTAAGGACTTCCCAGATCCTATGTCTGACTTGTTTTCAAATAAGTCAGGCAAATTTACATCTTTAATCGCAGAGTTGACTTATTCAAATGACAAATCCTATACTATCTATAAAAAAATGACAAATCATATATTGGTCGGATTGTTTACATGAGAGAGAGGAGTCTGCCCTGTTTCTTCCCAGTGTTGGCTATGTTTCTTCCCAGGTGGAGTGCTCTGTTGTTAATAACAGGACTTTTGAGGAAGTGGTGGTTGGAAAATTAGGTGTGGATTTAGGAAGGAGGACAGAAGAGGGTGATACAGATACTTCGTTTGAAGTGGCTCCCAAAAAGTCTCGTGGAACTAGGAATACGCACATTGTTCACATAACCAAGGTATTTTCTCAGATGAAATTTGGTTTGGCTAGGGCAAGACCTACAAAACAGTTTATAAAAGGAGCGGGGGAACCAATAGTACCAACAATCAAAGAGGCTGGGGCATGGACTCTCGGGCTCGTGACAATTCGGATTCACAGGTGGGGATTCATCAGCTTGAAAAAGACAATGGAACTGGCATCAACTCTGAAGTGAGAGCTCCATATAGATGTCTTGGATATCAGGAGGAGAGGCTTGGAAGAGTAACTACTACAAAATTGATGGACAAAGAAGTCGAGATTGGTAAAAGTCTTGGCTTGTTTTTTTTGGGGAGATGAGGAGTTTGCTAAGAAAGCACTTGAAGAGTTTGAGAGGAAGAGGAAGGAAGAGAGGTTGAAGAGAGTGGCAGCTGGGGAAGGACGAGAAAAGTGGGATAAAGATGATGATGGGCAAGAGGAAATGCTTGATGAGGATTAGGGAGTTTGATGTCTGGATTCTAAGTAGTGTCAGAGTTCGTGGAGATGGATCAAGGTGGCCAGATATGGAGTTTTTGTCTCTTTGTTTTGAATGTTTTTGTATTCCAGTTTCTCTGGGTGTAAGTTGTTTGGTGTCTGTCTCTTCTCTCAGGTGATTTCTTGTCACCTTTCCTTATGTCTTCTCTTTTTCTTTTAATGAATTTTATCTTTACCTTTCAAAAAAAAAAAAAAACAAGAGAGAGGAATCTGCCCTGTTATTCTCACGAGAAACATAGGAGAATTAGATCCACTACTTTTTCACATTGAAATAGTTGCATATTCTCAACCATGAATCTTGAGAGAGTGATCTGTGTTGGGAACATGTGTGGTTGGGTAATTCTCCATTGAAAGGAACAATTTCCATCTCTTTATAATTTGTCTAACTTTAAGGATGAGTGTGTTTTCCTTCTTTGCAGCCTTCTAGCTTGAGTCCAAGTTTCGCATGGAATCTGGGGTTTAGAAGGGGGCTCAGAGATGCTGAATGTAGCAATGTTTCTGTCTTATTAAAGTGCTTGGATAGGGTGTTCTTGAACCCTTCTGAGTTGGACAGTAGGTTTGGTGCCTAGCTTCTTCTGGTCTTTTTCTTGTGCTTCATTCTTTTCAGCCCTAATCCAAACCTCAGACAGTTCTTTAATGCCATTTCTGGTTAAGGAGGTTTGGAACATACCTATTGCCCCTAGGGTTAGTATTTTTGTTGTGAGGATTTCTTGGAAAGAATCAACACTCCTTCAAAAAAAGAGACAAAATTGGTGCCTTTCCCCCCAACTGGTGTATCCTTTGTGAGGCAAATGGTGAGACTTGATACCACTTATCAATCCCCTGCCTTTTTGTTTCTATCATTTGGGAATGGTTTCTCTTTATTTGGACACAGGTGGAACCCCCCACCAAATGTATAAGGCTTGTTTGAGTCTTCCTTTGTTAACAGGAGGAAGATAAGGGGGTGAATTCAATGGAGGTGTACAAGGGCGGCTGTGTGCTGGACGGTCTGGGAAGAAAGGAACCAAAGAGTCGTCCCAAATAAGGAAAGGAGTAGTGAAGCAATAATTGAGACCATTAGCATAAGAGTGATCCAATGGGTAAAGAATTTGAGCAGTTTTGGAGGTGTTTCTACTGATGACTTGCTTAGAAAGTGGAAAGAGGTAGCCGATTCCTCTCTTTCAAAAGTTTTCATCAGAATGACTTGGCTCCCACCTCTTTATGGGTTTCTCAAGTTGAACTTTGAGTGAGGGGAATCCGGGCCCTTTAGGCATTGGAGGGGTGTTCCGGAATGAGGAGGGAAGAATTATTGCTTTCTACTTGGGCCCAATAAGCATGGGTGATTCATTGAGGGATGAAATCATGGCAGTAATGGGAGGAATTCAAAAGGCTAAGGAGTTGAACATCAGTAGGTTGATTATAGAAGGGGACTCAAAGTTAGTAGCAAGCTGACTACAAAGAAAAGGAGATTGGTTGGTGGAATTTTGTTAATGATAAAAAAAAAAGTTTAAGCGTATTACATAAAAAATGGAAGTTAAGCTGCAGTTGGTAAAAAGAAGTGCAAATGCTTTTGCTGATGTTTTTTTTTATCAATAATGCTTTTTCTGATGTTTTGTCTAAGCAAGGGGTGGGAAGGGATCAACTTTTTTAGGCTGAGTTAATAAGAGAGCTTATCTCTCTCCGTGGTGCTTCTTTGTACTTGTTTCCATAATTAATGAAAATCTTCTGTTATTGATCAAAAAAGGGTAAAGTAAAATTGATCAAAAACAAAATTGAGGTAAAGTAAAAACCCCACTAGTTCTTCCTTGGTTGCGTTTTCAAAAGCGGGTGGCTGGTGGACCCCATGTGATATTTACTAAGAACTGGTGATATTAAAAATTAAAAATAAGGTAGACCCAAGTGAGTTGTGGCACAAATTTACAAAAAAAAAAAAAAAAAAAAAAAGGTATTCAAATCTTATCCAAAAAAGGCATTCAAAGGGTAAAGTTAGGATTATGTCTGGAACAATTGCACAGCCCATGAGCAGATTCTACTTGATAAGTTAGAAATTCCAGTCTGGGCTTTGGTAATATATACATTTCCACAAATCAAATTGTTTGACTCACCAAGTAGGACTCTGGATACATATTTAGTTCAAAGAAATGATCTATGCCATGGTAGAGATCCATTTTGCTACCATATAAATAAGGGAAATAAAGGTTATCAACAACCATGAAGAACATGCCCATAAAAATGAAGGTTACCTTCGCAAGCTGTGTCACATATGCTGCAGCCAGTGCTGTTGCCAAAAGTCCAAGACCAAGTGTCAGTAACTGACTGTTGCCTCCAAATAAATTGATGTCGGATTCATCTTGCTGAAAAATCAAGGAATTAAATCTCAGAGAAGGCACGAGGAAAACCAACTTACCTATATAAACTGGATGACCGTACTAAGGATAATGCCCCACAAATTACCAACCCTAAACTGCAGTTTGGAAAAGGTTGGTAAGATTACGCATGTTCAGAATTTTTTTTTTTTATCAGTATTACGCATGTTCAGAATTTAAGAAGCTGAAAATTGGTCCTTGGAGAAAGTGAAAATAAGAGTTTCGTTTACTGAGTTCTGGTTGTATCCACGCTCCTTTTCTTTTTTTTTTCTAATACTTGTTTCTTTTTCTAAGTGAAATCTAACAGCATGAGTCTTTTTCTTTCTAATCTCCTCATTCTTTGGAAGACAGCAATCAGTCTACTTGCTTCCATCTCTATTTTTCATCATCACCCAATTGTCTTCATTTCATGCTACAAACCTCTCTACCAAATCTGAAAGCTGCATGAACCCTACCTGTCCAACATCATTTCTTCATTGAACATTCAATATTAAATCATTCATCCAAAGCACAGACAAGTTAAGGCCAAATTAGAAATATGCTACCGATACAAACATGGCAGCAAGGAAAGAAACTATAGAAAAAGAAAGGTTTTCCATACTTTAAGTCTTTAAACTAGCAGAAATTTTCTAATTTTTGGGTGATTTGCATTTTAATATTTTTTATTTCTTTAATTCATTTTCTAGTTTGTTAGATTTTTAGAAATAGAGTTGAATTACTATCTTCTCAAAGTGTGCTATTCTTATTAAAGAACAGAATTACCATTTATAATAACTTTTGGAATTAGTATTTATAGTAATTCCTATAATTACTATTTATAACAATTTTCATATAATTACTATTTATGGTAAAATCAGAAATTACTACTTTTGCGGTTAGACTGTGAGTATACCTAGTAATATTAGTAGTAAGTTTCTATGTTATTGAAGTCAGAATAAGTAAGCCTCAGAATCTCAAGTAGGAATTAGCTGTTTTTTATTTCTTATTGATCTATAAAGATGTGTCAACATGGCCTTCTTTATCAGTAACTATTAATAACTTTAATGTTCTCTCTCTTTTCTTTTATAAACAACCAAAAGGTCATTAATTCATTAATTATAAACAGAATGTACAATGAATTATACAAACAGTGGAGAGCACAGAAATATCTCTCCCCCTTTTGTTCAAATTAGAAAACAGCCCAGAAAAACTGATTCCCAAGTTCCTTTTGCTTTGCTAAAGCATCAGCAATATTATTGGTTGATCTCTGCACCCATTGAACCTGCACTTTCATATCCCCGGTTCACCACTTGAACCTTTCTTTTTTTTTAAGGTAAAAATTTTGAAGCAATTCACACACTAATACAACAGGGCCCGTGAAAAAAAGGCCAACACCCCAACAGGGCCCCCACCCCAACTACAAACAGCAAAATACAACTACCAAAGACTCTTGGAGTTCAGCAAGACAGCCAGTGTGTTACCCTAACCGAACACACTCAAATATTTCCCCATTGTTTTGTAACCATCTTACCATCCAACCATCACTTTTGAACTGCCCTCTATGATCATCTTGTTGATGTTTAACTCTCTTGCCTTCTGTATTTCATACAATGCAGCCATGGTTTCTGCTCTTAGAGAATCCCCTTCTCCAACTGGTCCAGAATACAATGTTATCACAAGTTCACAACACCTTCATCCCTAAATACTCCCCCAACACCTGAAAGCCTTGCATTTCCCTGATACTCCCATCAAAATTTAATTTCATATAACCTTCTCCAGGTGGTGACCAATATTTTGGAGTTGCTTCTTTCTCACCTTTAGATTCTGCCACTTCTTTCCATTTCCTAAAAATGCAATCAAAGGAAAATGATGAAAAGTGGTCCATCGCTTTGATCCAATGTGCTAACCTAACTGTAATACACTCAAATATCACTTCTCTTTCCTAAAAATTCTTGCATTTCTTTCTTCCCAAGTTGTCCAAACTATTGCTGCCCTTGTCATTCTCTACATCACCTTTCCTCTTTTATTCCGCCATCTAAAAGTTGAAAAAGCAAAAAGTCCAACCGTGGTGCTTGAAAAATCCCACCTACACCCAAACAAAGAAAAGAACCACTCCCAAACAGCCAAAATAAATGAACCGGAGATTAGAAAATCGGAAGGAGTAGGTACAAGCCTTGCAAAGAACACACCAGTTCAAAGGAAAACAGCAAAAAGGCCTTCTCTTTTGGAGAGTATCAAAGGTATTAATCTTTCCATAGAATACCTCCCAACAAAAAGCTCTAATCTTGGGAGGAATTGGATGACACCAAATTTCTCTAATAGGAATGGGTGCAAGGAAGATGAAGGAAAGTACAACACTCTAAAGAAGGAAGCACAAGAGAAAGACCCTAAAGGGGTGAAAGACCTAAATCCTACAACCCGGTCTGGAAGGGCCCAAAAACACAATGCCCAACAAATGCAACAAATTAGTGACAGTTTGAAGTTCTGAGTCACAAATACCCCCACCTGAAACGCAAGTCCCAACTAAACCCATTCCAAACTGGAAAGACTACAAATTTAGAGATTACCTCACAGAGTTACCAGGATAAACATCATAACTTATATCATTAAGGAGTTGCAAGGATTTTAGAAATTACCTTCAAAGGAGAGGCTCTCATGACCCTAGAGAATAACCCAGCATCCCAATAGTTTCCCATGAGTCAATGAATGCTAGTCACCACTTTATGCCATAAATTTTCTTTCTCAATTAGAAACCCCAGCAGCCATTTCCCCAATAAAGCTACATTCTTCTCACCTATCTTCTCAATTCATGCTCCACTATATGGTCATTGTTTTCCTCTCCCCCAGCTCCCACAGAAAATCCCCACATAAATTTCTCCAACTTATTTGTCATTGCTGACAGAATTCTGAAAACCAAGAGAAAACAAATGAGAAGATTGGGCGAAGTCAAGTTTATGAGATTAAGTCTACCCCCTAGAAATAGGTAGTTCTTTTTCCACACAGACAACTTTTTTAAATCTCCCTAAGATTGGACTCCAAAAAGTATGTCCCCTTGGGTTTCCACCTATTAATAACTTTATTGATAAGTTAAAAGAATGCCGACAGGTCTTGTAAACAGCCATTGATGTTATTATTGTCAATCAAATGTCAAGGTAAATTACTAATAGGATTAAAAAAACAGGATCATTTCATTATCAGAAATTATGAGAAATTTGTAACTGACTTACAATGATTGCACGTCCAAATGCACCAGCACAAACATAAGCCCAAGTCCCTGGAAGCATCCCTAGCCAACTGCACCAATAAATGTAGGTGTATGTATTAGAATACTTGCAATAGAGTGTTAACATTTTGATTATGTATGTGTAGGGTCAACATTAACAAACTGTCCTAACTTAGATGTGGCCTGTGGACTACAATTTGTCAGATCACTACATGGGTTATAAAAAAGCAATAGAGTGGAAGAGTATACAACATGAACTGCTTTGCTCTCACCCTCATACAATTTAAGAGGATACCAAAAGATGTAGGTATCATCTATTCTATGTATTTAAATATTATTTTTCATCTTTTAACTAGGAATGTTTAGCTTTTGCCTACCAAACAGAATAAAGCATAAAAATCATGAACATCCAACTAACAGAGATTATAGGAAAGAAACAAATAGCAATAAAATAAACAGACCTTCCTAACACATATGGGATGAACTTCACTGAAGTCAGCCCATACAAATAGTTTCCAAGAGAAAATGGAAGCAAAGGGCTCAGACGAAGAAGTGTGACAACTCTGAAACCATTCTCCCCAATAGCTTTGTCAATGGCTAGAAATTTCTTATTTCCCTTGACCATTTTAAGAATACGCTCACGGGCAAAATATCTGGCAATAAGAAATGCAACAGTTGCTGCTACCTGATATGGTGAAAACACAAATATGAGCACATCTTGTTCAATTTGCTATATTAAGTTTGAAAGAAAAACCATCTTACCGTTCCACTGATGGAGACAATGATAGTTCCAATAACAGTGCCGAAAAGAAGACCAGCAGACATAGTTAATGGGATGGCTGGAATCGCAAGGATCTAGGACAACAAGAAGTCAAGAAATATTCTAGGTTAAGATAGGCAAAGCATGAAGAACAATACTGATTTACAGCATCTGAAGTCAAATTATTGGAGATATTATGGCAAAACCTAGATTAGTTGTTGGGTTTGTGTCAGGGTAATCATGTAATTGCACCATCTATTATAAATACTAATGAGAAGGGCTAGTAGACCATATTATATGCTCTCTCTAAGACTCTTTTCTTTGTTCCTCTTTATTCTTCATCTTCTTTAATCAAGCTTTTTAATCAATACAACCCTCAAACTGGTAATTAGAGCGGAGATCCAAGTCTTCATAGACAACTACACACTCAACAATGTGCTGATGTTATCATTGCCATCAGATGACATCAGTAGACCATATAGATGGCTGACACCTCCAACAGGAAAAACCCCCAGGCCCAGGTTTGATCAAGGATGATTTCAAAAGAACCTTGATGCAGAAAGCATGGCTGTTTGCTGCTGCTTCAGTATTTTTTTAAGATTCCTTCTGAAAAATCAAGAAAGATAGAGTTTGGACTCAAGGAGACACAACAATTCATATAAGGCAATTTGGTGAGTTCTGTTGCATTGATACAAATCATGGCTGTTTGCTGCTGCTTCAGTATTTTTATAAGATTTCTTCTGAAAAATCAAGAAAGATAGAGTTTGTATAGGGCTTTTTGTTGAGGTCTGTTGCATTGATTTTTTTTCAAGAATAAAGAGAAAATTCATTAAAAAGAAAAGGAAATACAATAGAAAGATGATAAGGAATCACCCAAAAGAAACTCACAGCACCCAAAATTACACAGATGAAAGGCCTAAAGACTCAACAAACCTAACTCAGCCGGAGAAATCCCTTGAAACTGAGGTAGCCACCAGATAAACACCTAATCCAAAATCCTCAGCTCGTGAAACAGACAAAGTCTCAATCTTCATCCATGATTGCATCTTCCTGCCCTGAATCATCCTCGTCCCAATCTCTGCCTCCTTCCAACCAAACTTTTCTATTCAACTTCTCATCCCTTTTCCTCCTCTCAAACTCCTCAAAGGCCCTTCTAGCAAACTCCACACCACCCCAAAAAAATAAACCCAAACTCTTACCAATTGTGACCTCTCTTTCCACTAATTTCCGGAGAGGCACACAGCCGGAATCATCATCACTATCGTTGCCGATTTGTGACAACAAATTCTCTTCAATATCAGGACTGAACACTCACATTGTCTTCTTGTTGTTCCTTTCCCAATTGGGAATCCAAAAATTGACCCTGCATCATTGACCCTTGTGATCAATTCCAACTGACACAATACTTTACACACCTTTTCTCCTATAGACCCATTTATAATTCTTTGTAGGGCCTGTTCCTACCAGACCAAGCTTCAACCTGGAAAAGATTTTCGTCACATGCGTGAAACTATGATTTCTTAAACTGCCTAATTTTTGACAGTCGCCTCTAAAGGTGTCTCCTTCTCCTTCTCCTCTGTGTTGCTTCTTCGACCCAAGTCTACACCCAGCCCCCCGACCATCACCTCCTTAAAGCAAAAATTGTCATCAATACGACTCTCTTCCTTACCGCCAACATTCCCGCCACCATCTGTAGTCTCCTCTTCTCAGGTCACATTTTCAGCTTCAGATTCAACAATGGAAATGGTATGTCCTTTCCCATATTCTTTCAAATCCTCCTCCAACCTCCTAGACCCCTTTGGGATAAACTCCTCAGTACCCAAAGAAGTTGGGATTCCAATTTCATAACCAGATTCTTGAGAAACTGCATCCACAATCCTAGACTTACAAGGGAAGAAAATCACTGCAGGCTCACTATTGGCATGTGAGCAATAGCTATCGCCACTCTCCACGAAAGTAGACTGATCATTAAAGATACTATCCCCCGCTCCCCCAAAAAAACTCTTCTTGCCACATCTATCATACCTGGTGATCTCCCAAACACATCTCTCCTCCCTTCTCTTTCCAGCCTCTAACGATATATACCTTCCAAATGTCCTGACTTTCTAAAATTTGATCTACTAGGCCCTAAGATCAACCTCTTGTCCACTTTACCTCTCCTATACCGACTATTTCTTGCTATCAAAGAAGCCGGTATTCAAAATCTTAGCTTCACTCAAGTCTCCTTCTGGGCACAACAATTTCAGACGAATTGACTAGATGAGACAGGATGACGATAGACATGGGTTAGAGTCCATAAAAAGATCCTCATGCCCAAATGTTGAGTCATGTTAACCTAATTTCTCAAAACCACTATCCTTCCTACCTGGACCCACATCTTGGAGTGGTGCAGCATCCACTGAGATCAAAATAATTGGACCCCCCTCTCTTCCAAGCCTCGGCTTACAATGAGTTGGACCCCCTACAAGGTCAGCACTAGGTATTCGGACCCCACCTATAGTTGCTTCGGCATTGTACTTGCCACTTCAACATTCTCAAGACCCACCTCGGGGTGGGCACCCAACTCTCCCAGTCCTTTAATTGCAACCGACTTGAATTTCTTCCCCAGCTCCACATAATTAAACTTCTGTCCCTCCACGTGTCTCACCCTTCCATCTTCCAAACTGACCACAAAAAGATCTAAGGGTTGAGGGCCTATCTTGAGGTCGGCCCTCGTATTAATCCCCTCTTAATTCTTCAAATTCCAACTGCCACCGCAAGGGTTGAGGCCACCTTACCACTAGACCTGTTCATGGGCCGGGCCGGGCTTTTACTCATCATTAATGGAAATACGCTAGGCCCGAGCCCAAGCCCGAGCCCGGCCCTACCAACGGGCCTATAATTTCGGCCCGAGCCCGGCCCTGATAAAAAGCTCGAAGCCCGACCAAATAAAAAAATTACAATTTTCCCTATTCAAATTAGAATTAAAAATTCATATGGTTTTTTTTTCCTATTTAAATGAATAATGGGCCTACAAGATGGTTTTTTTCCCTTTCTTTTACATTCTTAAATCAAAAAATTTATTCAAATGGACATAATCACATAACCCTTTTTAAGTCTAATTTTAGGTCGGGCCGGGCTATTTTGACAAAACCCGAGCCTGGCTCGAATTTATTGCGGGTCGGGCTTTTTGGCCCGAGTTTAAGCCCGCGGGCCTATAAACATGTTCAAGCCCGTCCGGGGGCCGGGCCGGCCCGTCGGGCCACCCGGCCCATGAATAGGTCTACTTACCACCCCCATTAGTGAAGACTTCTTCCAAAAATCCCAATGTACCCTCATCTTCAACCTCTAGGCTGACCCAATTAAGCTAACCATTCGACTATTGATTCTTTTCTGCCAAAACCAAATAAATTTTATCTCTCGACTTTCTCCAAACTCTCATATTCTCCACCTACCTTAACGGATATGATCCCTCAACAATGAGTCTCATATCGAAAAGTTCTCTAGCGAACCAAACAAACAAAGATCAAGGTACAAGATTCACTTCTTCCACTTTGACCAAAATATGTGTGCTAACCAGATTCTTCCAAGAGCTCATTCTAGGATCAACAACCCTAAATCTCCCACAAGTTTCTCCCACTGCTTCAAACGTCTGGAAACACCACGCGTGTAGAGGAATGCAGTAAATGTTTATCCACACCTGACTCGTCAGTCCCAATCCTCAGTTCAGGGGAACGGACCTAAGATTCTTCACGAGTCATGGTTTTGTACACCTCCTCATTATAGAAAATGAACAGGAGAAAACCAATATCCATTTTCCTTACTTAAAAGGAGTTAGATGGTCTCCATACTACGATCACCCACTCCTTCACAACAACTTCTTCGTCTAGGTCCGAATTAACAAATCGACCCACTAAACTCCTTTTCAACAAACTTAGCTGTCCAAAAACACTCTCGTTCAAAGTCACACTAGCCTCCATCTTCTTTCATTGGTGATTTGATTTTGTCAATTCAATCAAGGAAGTACCAGTTGGAAAAGCTAGAAACTTGATTTAATGTGGCCAAACTTGTTATAGTTGCTGGCCAAATTAAAAAAAAAAAAAAAATCTAACCCAACCCATTAACCGGTTTCTCAGTATTTTGAAATCTAAATTTCTAGATCGATATTGCATTGAACAGGACCAGATTTGGAACCCATATTTAGAACTAAACATTACCTGATACGGCGTCCAAAGAATGCAGCTCCTAGAGTGGTAGTTCAAGCCCAATATTAGACCCAAATCGGCATCCAACTGAAGATGGTGTAGTTGTGTGTGTGAAGCCGATTCAGCAACACCATTTCAGCAAAACCGAAACCCAACTTACTTGGACCAGTGCCACTATGTGAAACTGGTATCCTCCAATGTTTTTCTTCCAAAAACACAGCAGAGAACTGATGAAAATCAGCCCCTACCAAAGCCAGTTCAAACTAGGGTTTTTGGGTGCATACGGAAAAGCAAAAGAGAGCAAGAGAGTGGAAAGAACGGATGGTTCACCCTCTCCCTCTTACCCCCTTATATAGATCACTCTCATAATCCTATTAGAAGCTAATTCAAATCAGATTTGGAACAGGATTTAATCCATATTGGATAAGCACATCATCTTCTTAAGAGAATGGGTGCTCCATACCCATATTCGATCCATGTCACATGACAACTTAAGTTTTCATTCATTCATCCTATTTGCTAATGTTTTCCATTAGCTAATGAATGAACAACATCCTTCATTCATCCTAAAAAAAAAATATCTTCTTAAACGGCAATTCAAATTATAAAATCATCACTTTTTGTGTGAGGATTAAGAATTTAAGACCCTAATATGAATTTGTTTGGGCTTGCCTCGACGGGTGTGTCCGGAGGTCCGGGGGAAGAGCCTCCGGCCCAACCACTAGGTTCAAAGAAAGCAAAAAAGCATAAAAATTTCAAAAGGTGCATGCCTGGTCTGAGGTGCAAGGCACATCAGGTGCAGCCTAGTGCACCTATTAAAAGTGTTACGCCGAGGTGTACACCTAAAATGCGCCTAGGCACGCACCTTTTAAATCACTAACCCTAAGTGTTTTTAGTGTAAGATTGTCACC